CGGGTGCCGCCTCCGGGCTGGGCCCTGCCCTGTCTGAGGGCAGGAAGCGGCCCGGCCAGGTCGCTGCAGGCCCGGGCTCTTGGTGCCTGGGTTCCGGTAGCGGCGCAGAGGGTAGGCAGCAGGGTGAAGTTGGAGAGAGGACACAGGAGAGGAGCTAAGTAAGCTTTGTACTTCTGACCCTCCTCTTATTTGCTGCAGAGTCTCCCAGGAAAGTAGAAGAATGTTCTTAGGTGCAAAACCTGGTTTTATTTCTCCTCCTGTAAGTGATGTTTCAGGTTTGTCCTTTAGAAAGCCAGTGAACTGTGCTTTGCTCGGAAAAGACATGTTTGTAAGCAGTCTGAGGATCCTAGTTGCACTGTTGGTTTGTATTTCTGTACCGCTTGTATTTTAACAAATTTTTACTCTTTGCCAACTTGTATTCTTACCTCTTTGTGCTTGATCTGGATGAAAAGGCGTTAAGTTAGTAGTAAGCAGGAGCCACATGGTGGAGAGTGTAAGCATGTTGGTTTGGTAGTGCCTGAGGAGAAAATTGTATTGTTTTTCATAGCTTCTAGTGTATCATGGTTTGTATTTTGGTAACCCTGGAACAATCTTTAAGATCTTCTAATTTGTGCATTTTCTGAAATACCAGTAAAGTTAATACAGAGTTCAGTCCCTCGCTGACGTGGTAAGCAGATCAATCCAGAATATGACTTTGTGGATCAATTTTTTTAACATTGCCCAGCAATGTCTGGCATTGACCTTTCTTAGTAGTGTTTCGTTCCATATGCTTGGAAAGAGTAGTGATGGAGTAAATTAGATCATTATGTGATACTGGTGTTTTATTTTTATATTCTCTGATGGTATTTTCTAATGATATTTCTTTTGATTGGTGTCTTTTACTAAAACCTTGACTAAAGATCCTGTCAAAAGTAATCTGAATCATAGTGAGTTTTTTTGGTTCATGTGTTACGTAACACAGGAAAAGAAAATACAGGGAGCTTGAGCCCAGCTGTTTACATCTAGAATCTGGTTTTGATTGTAGTTTGCAATGAATATGTTGTTGAAAAAGTAGAAGACCATGTTTCATTTTGGGGAGAGCTGAGTTAGTTAAAAAGTTCAAAACCATCAAAGTGACAAAAGAATTACAATGATAAATTTTACTGCTTGCCATTCTAAACTTCTGTAGTAACTTTTTTCTTAATGAGATTTATCTTGTTGCTTTGCAGAAGTAATGCCTTACCTGGTTTGAAGATCTAAGAGAGCTTTCTGTTTGCATAAGGCATAAAAGAAAATGGAAGAAGATGAGACTTCACAAGGTGAAACGGAGAGGGCAGAAGTTGAAACATATGCTACTCCTGACATCAGTCGGCGGATATCAGTTAGTGAGTTCCTTTGCCACTGCTGTTACGACATTCTGGTCAATCCCACCACCCTGAACTGCGGGCATAGTTTTTGTAGACATTGCCTCGCCTTGTGGTGGGTATCGTCCAAGAAGAATGAATGCCCCGAATGCAGAGAAAAATGGGAAGGATTCCCCAAGGTCAACATCCTCCTCAGGTAAGTGTACTATGCAATTTTTGGATTTCTAAAGCCACCAAAATTAGTTGGCTGGTTTCTTGTGTTTGATGCAGATTTTCGTAGTTCATTGTTAATCTGAACTGTTGCAAAGATGTTTAAAGCCTGAAGTCTTTCGTAGTCTGCACTTGTTCTGAACTGTTCAAGCACATTTTTCTGCATGGAACTATGGAGTGGGTTGGTTGGCTTTGTTTGAGGTTGGGGGGGGGAGGGTTCCCTTTTTGAATTTTTTGGGGAATGGAGAGAAGGCATCCCTTTTTAGTATTGAGACACTTGCATCTTTTAATACAGTTGGTTGTTTCCTAATAATTCCAGGTTGAAGTTAGAATGATCTTTGATAAGTATGTAATTATTTCTGTAATAGGAATTATCTATAGGAAAAAAATGTCATCTTACTGCAGAACAAAGCTGGAATACCAATTTGCTGTCTTAAACTACCCACAAGTTCTTCTGTTAATAATACTTTATCTTAGGTTCATAATATTTTAGTAAATAGATTGATGCTAGGCTTTTATGTTGTCTTTTGCTTAGCATTTTTGAATAATTAAGAATTGCCAGTAGCACACAGAATTCTAGTTTTATATAAGAAATAAGGATTTTTTTTTTAATACAATATTTTAACTTCCTCTATCTTTACAAGCGAAGGAAGATATTGTTTGGAAGTAACTGATTTAAGTTCAACTTTACAGAGTATTAATAACTAATGTTTTCTTGCTTTCAAAGATGACAGTCTTTAGTAAAGGTTGGAAAACAAAAATCCAAAAATTAGTCACTTTTCTGAATGTTAAGCCTCAATGGTTATAGTACAATGACAAATATTTTTCCCATTAGGGATGTTATTGAAAAGCTATTTTCTGATGCCATTGAACAAAGAAAAGAAGATATTCAGCAAAGCAGTGATGTAGCTCGCAGCTTAGCAACCTTCCAAAAATATGAGAACGACCAGATCCCTACAGTTCCGAACACAGGAAGAATTAATCCTCGAGGAGGAGGGTTTTTCTCAGGCGTTCTGACAGCTTTAACTGGTGTAGCAGTAAGTTCTATCTGGTTGATTTTCCATATTTACTTCATTAAGCATGCAATCAAATATACTTAAATTATGACAGATGCACTTAAAAAAAAGATCATCAGCACAGGAGAGACTTCAGCTGAGTGGAGTAAATAAGGTGGCATTCAGGAACTACAATTGCAATATATAGGAAACAGAAGTTAGACAAATTGGGTAAAACCTCAAGATACTTTCTAATAATCTGAATATTCTAGGGTCCATAAAATGGAAGATTCTACATGTCAAGCAAGCACCGTAATGCATGTTTGTATCATTAATATATTTGCTTTGCAGGTAAGGGTTCTCTTTTTTTCTTTTTCTTTTCTTTTTTTTTTTTTCTAAATCACTTATAGGTAGTTCTACTTGGATATCACTGGAGTAGCAGAGAATTTGAAGAAGATCATCTTGTCCACAAGCCTGTTGCTAAATGGACTGCTGAGGAAGTGGTACTTTGGCTAGAGCAACTGGGCCCATGGACTTCACATTATAAAGAAATATTTTTACTGGAGAAAGTGAATGGAAGGTGAGAGGCCTAATTGTCAAGAACAGCTATAATTTGATTGGACTACTGGATAGCTTCCATTAGGCACCGGATATTGTGAAATGACCATACTTCATTCCATAGATTGTGGGAATATTCTGTTTATGTTTCAGAATAAAATTCAGGGGAAGTTTTAACACTTGTAGTTGAAAACTTTAGTAGTAGATACTGAGTAAGCTAACTGAAAATTTTCTAAGAACTTTTAAAAATGCTGACAGTGCAAACTGAAATGATACTGAAAGTAAAATTCTACTAATGTTATTATCCGCCCCTCCCACCTTTTCTTTCTTGGGAAAATATGCATGCGCTTATATGCATTGTTGCATTCCACCCAAGAACTTGAGGTTTGATTTCAGGAGACCAGACTAGATCTGTGAAGTACTGAAGAACTGTGCTCAGTAATAGCCCACAAGCTGATAAATTTGCATACTGAAAGCAGGCAAGAGAAAATTTGAAAAGAAGGATATTTAAAACCCAGGCTCTGAGATGCAGTTGGTTCAGAACACTTGATATGGAATGTAATCCAAAAGGTGATACCTTCTGTCAGTAGCTTATTGTTTCCATATGTAATTGCTAATTTGTTAGTCATATCATTTTGGCAAAGAGGCACTGTTTACCTTCTGAATTCTGCTTTTATAGGCTCCTTCTAACACTGACAGAGGAGGATTTCAAAAAAGACCCTTACAGTATAGAGAACAGTAACCATAGAAAAGCTATTATGGCAGAACTGGAATATGTGAAAACTTTAGGTGTTAAACCACCACAGAACCTTTGGGAATATAAGGTAAATTTTATATAAATTCTGTCATGTATATTAAGTGTTTTTAAAATAATGACTTTAAAAGAAAATTATCTTAAAACCAGGAGTGTTGCAGTAGTAGAATTACCGTTGTAAAAACTGCTCAGTTTAATAAACTATTATATTTGAAAAATGATCCTTTGAAAAATGATTATCAGAAAAGTCTAAAAACTGGCATATTCTTTTAATTTTATTTTTTCATTGTTTGAAACTTGGTAATTTGATACCTTTCAGGCAGTAAATCCAGGAAAATCACTCTTTCTTCTGTATGCGCTGAAGAGTTCTCCAAGACTAAGTATGTTATATCTATATTTGTTTGATTACGCAGAAGCTTTCCTACCTTTCATCCACACAATTTGCCCTACGCAAGAAGACAAGTATGAAGATACTGTCACAAAACTGCTAGTAGGTGTTCAAAACATTAAATATGCTACTTGCTTTAGTTATAGGCATTTTAAGACTAGCAGTATAAAAAGATGTGATGTAATTATTCACCATTTCATCTCTTCACAATACAACTTAATCCTACAAAGTAAGTGGTTTCTTGATTTTATTGTATGTGATCACCAGTGTTGTGAACGTCACCTTTAATATGATTGATTTAAGACTTTTAAGACTTTAACTCTCTGTAACTGATTTCTTTGAAGTTCACATGACCGTAGAAAGGCTGTTCACTCAAAATACCTGTAGTTTGACAAATGGCATTGTAAGGCCTTGCTGTCTGTGATGTTTTATTCTAATCTAAAGGAAATTACTGGGTTATAATTTTATCTATCAGGAAGTATAGTAAAGATAAATTACTACTTTCAATGTATGAAAAGATAATTTTTCAAGAAAAGAGTGGTGGAAATAAGTGTTAATACTGGCCGTTGTCGGTTTAATAGGAAATTGATAACAGTCTTTTTATCCTAATTTACAGGACCTTAAAGATCCTTCTTGGAAACAGTGGAGAGAATTAATTGTAAAGTATATATTTTTGCCATACCAGTTGATAGCTGAATTTGCTTGGGATTGGCTGGATGTGCACTACTGGACATCAAGATTTATAATTGTAAATGCCATGTTGCTCTCTGTTCTGGAGTTATTCTCCTTTTGGAGGCTCTGGTCACGAAGAGAATTGAAGTAAGTTTTACTGAGCTTGTTGAAGAGGGTGGGAAGTACATGGCTTCTAGAAAGTAACAGTCTTATGATTTCACAGTTGTTCACTGAAATGACTGTGTAACCACAACTGAGGTTAATAAAAACATGTGAATATGAATCCACACATATACTAGTACTCACTCTTGAGTATCTTTATTTCTGTGAGTACTTGAAAGGGTTTCTTACAGCTGGTTTTACTGATCAGATGCAGCAAATGCAGTAGCGGTAATAAGCATGCTGTTAACCATTGGGTAAATATTAACTCTTACCTTGAGAATTGCTTTTTACGGTAAGTGGTGTTAGCTGAGAACTAAATACACAATAATTTTGTCATGATATGCTTACAGCATAGGTTAGTAAAGGATGAGTCCTCAGGACCATAAACTAGTTACACTGATATAATTTCTGATAGGTGATAAAAATTGCTGTTTTCAGTTACTGCTTTGGCCTTAATTCAAGCGTATGCATATTACTTCATAATTGCTGTGGTCTTTTATTTATAGTTTTTAGAAATTCTTGTTTTGGTGTATACTGGGTTTTCACTTTCTCTGCCAATAGCTAGGGGGCAGAATGTGTTCAAAAGAGAACAGAGTAGGTGGAAATAATCTATGACAAATCTAGAATTTGACGACTTTAACTTGCTGTGCTTTGTGGTCTGAATAAATTGACTTGATGCTTCCTCATGATTAAAATACAGTATTACTGTATTTTAATAAAGTTTTTGTGGAGTGCAAAATGATGTTTTACAGGTAGCTAAGTGCTAAATAATTTGAGGCTGCAGCACGTATTAGCTTGTCTTAGAATAGACTGAAAACAAAACGGAAAGTTCCTCTAAGTGTTTCCTTTTCCTTTTTCACAGGACTATTCCTCACAGAATGTGGAGACATTTCTGGAAAGTCTCAACCCAGGGTCTTTTTGTTGCCATTTTTTGGCCTTTTATTCCTCAGTTTGTCTGCAATTGTTTGTTTTACTGGGCCTTGTACTTTAACCCAATTATAAACATTGATCTTGTTGTTAAAGAAGTAAGGCGCCTGGAGACACAACTGCAGTGAGTGGCATTGGAACTTTTGAACTGCTTAGCTTCTAAAAATGGACATTTGAAATAAGCTTTGCTTTTCTTCTTTATATATGTGTCAGTGAAAGTGGTGGAGTATGTTAACTTAAACATACAAAAAGCCTTAAGGTAAGTTACTCTTAAACCAGCTGATTCCAGTTCTGAGGATGGGGGCTATATTATTAAAAAGGAATTTTCTATTAAAAAAAATGTTCCTGATTTAGCCAGGTAAAACTCAACAATCAGGTCACTGTTTTTTTTATCAAATCAAACTTCTGTAGTCTGTCTTGAGCATTCTGGTTATTTTCAAGCCTTAAAATCAGAGTCTTCTGAACAGCTGCAGTTGATTTATTTATTTTTTTTTTTAATTTTGTTTTTTTTTAACTTAGCATTTCATACCAGGAATGTGTTCCGTAAGTTAAGTTTGCCAAAGGAAAGCTCTTCCTGGATAGGCTTGATACTCAAAGTACTTTAGTGTTTTCAGTCTGCTTTACATGTAAAGCTGTGACTGTCAAATACAGTCTCACAGTAGAGTTTGCTCTAAAATGCTGTTGAAGGCAAAGACTGCTTGAGGTTTCTTGTCTTTTGGAAAATGTGGCTATTGTCATGCAAATTTTTTTTTATTCAGATCGGTTAGACTTCATCAAGAGCCTCTTTAATGCTCTCAAAGTCTGTTGCTAATTCTTAAGTTCAGGGTTATCTCTTAAAAAGGATTATTTTGCAAAAGTGACCTGACACTGTAAGTACATCTTACTGCAATATAATGTGTGTATGTAGATCTATGAGCGAATATTGACTGGAAAGTTACTTTGTATAAACAGGATTGCCATTTGTTAATGTATGGTTTTTGACTGAAGCAAAGTTAGATTTTTCAAGAGCTTTGTCCCCTTGCACTCTACATTAGTTTGGGTTTTTTTATTTGTATCTTTAATATGAACTTTAAATTTGCCTATGAATATTTTTGAAGATTAAAGATCTCTTTTGAAATCTTCATCCTTCCTAAAGAAGTGGTGGGGTTTTTTTTCAATATTGAAATACTTGTCATTAGCTTTGACAAAGCAAAGTTGCTCAGTAGCCCTGCATCGTAACATAAGTTGAGGTGGGTGAAAGTAGACATAAAACACTTCTGTTTCTTAAACTGTTAAAATTAGCAGTTATGAAAAAGTGTATTATTCAGCAATTAGTGTTACTGATTTCTCTTGCAAAAAAGGTTTCAAAAAGCTATGAAGTGACCCTAGCTAAAACCATCTTTACGTCCTTATGAGGTACATACACTTCTGAACTTTGCAAACACATGCTGTCCAAGATCACACACTTATGGGAATGGCAGTTGGTCCCAGTGGCTGTGACTTTTTTTCATGTATCTGTTTTGGTGATGGTTTGCATTTGTATTTTTAAATCTGAACTTCTCCCTGTGCTCACAGGAAACTCAAGGTGGAAGCCTTAAGCCATATCAAGTGAACAACTTAGAAAGCTGTATGTAAAAAGTAACTACTAGAAAAAAAGAATTACATTAGGCATTTTTTTAATACAGGTACTACTTAATGTGAATGAGATGCAAAAGTTAAATTAGGCTTCAAATAACTGTTTAATACAGATGAGAGGGCTCTTTATGCGCACACTGTCATTTCATGCATTTCTTCTGGTCAGTTCAAAGTTAACCAATGTTAAGGTACATGTTAGTGGAAAAGTTTGATTTGTATCTTATAGCCAGTGGAGCAGGGATGAAAAGTTTACAGTGAATGATGTTATGAATCTGAATATAAACAAACAATGTTAAATCAGTTGCTCCTTAAGCTCCTATTTAGTCAATAAATGCTTACATAGAATGAATGAACTTGCTCTTAGTCTGTGCACTGTAGAAGGTAAATAAGAAGATAAGTGTTTATTTTGGCCATTCTGGGGTGCAGAGGCTGAGATGGCAGGAAGGAGGATCAAGAAAGTGGAAAATAATTTGTTGTCACTACTGTGACAAAAAAAACCCCAAGTCATTTTACATTTAAATACATCCAGAGTTTTCATAAAGACTGATGTTGTATGTCTAATACCTACACAAAGGCTGAATCTCACCACACATAAAGTCTGGCCACAAAAGGTATTTTGTATTATAGGGAGCTTTAGAAAAACATCTGGCAGCTTCACGGTCACATTCACATGCCATTTTTTGACATTTGTCTTCTAGTGATTCTGAAAGAAAACACAGTAAGTTTGATGTTAGTCTAAAGTAATTAAAATACCAAATGGAATACCAAGAATTGCTACCTCATATTCTATATTTGCCATATAAATGGCTCTTGTTTTTCAAGGGCAATGGGAGCTGTACTGAGCTTTAGTAAGATGTACTGCTCTTTCATGTTCTTTAGACAGAGCTCCATGCAGGATATTGTAGCAACAGAGAATATACAAGCGTGGTTTGGTTTAGTGATGATCAGTGGAACTATCTTGGCAGGTGAAAATACAGTAATTGGATACAGGCTTAAATACTGTTCCTCTTCATGTTCTTTAATAAGGAACTCTGATAACTTTTTCCTCTTTAGAAAGTGATATGTAACCCTCCCTGCCCGCCCTGTTGCTCTAGGGAAATTTGAGTTTGGGAAGATATTTTCCATTTTGCATATGCTTTAATCTACTTGAGGATGTAGCATTAAAATTATACATGTGAAATAAGGGATGCAAAGACATTCCATGTTCAGCCTAAATCACCCACCTTTTTTTATCAAGGCATTCAGTAAGAAGTTAGGTAAAGTGTGTGTAAGTACAATAAAATCCATGTCTGGCCATATTTGTTTTATAATGGCAGTGTTGTAACTTAACAGATTTCTTGGCATGAACGTTTCTTCTTGGCATGAACGTTTTCTATAGCAATATGTTTTGGTTTTATTGTGCCAACCAAGAAATGTGTGGTTTTTTTCTCCCTGCAACTGCCTGTAAACTGATGACTCCTTGATTCTATTTTGTCTGAGTATTTAACATTTTGGAAGCTTAGCTGAATCTCTGCTTGAGATTTGAGTGAACTCAAATTCTGATATGAAATGGAAGTGTTCTTAATGTATATGTGTTGACATATATATTTTGTTTCAGTTTTGTTTCTTGATGACATGCCTACTGTCTTGTCCAGTTTTTAAAAATATTGTCAGCTTCTGGACTGGAACAGGAGCAGAACCTTTACAGCCAAATATATAGGTGGACTGTAACTTGACAGTTAATGATATAGTTCGAGAGAGGAGACAGTACTTCTGGAGCAGAGGAGGAAATGAGCAAGTAGAGATTCTGCATGAAGTTGAATGAAAAGGAGGAGAGGAGTGTCAAAAACTTTTATTTCAGGTCAGGCAAATTCTAAATTGAGTTATGAAATGAGAGGTTTTTGTGTTTCCTTTGAATTGACTACTGTTTTGCCTTTAAACTATGGTAGTCAGAAACTCGGACTCATAAATTTTTTGTAAGGGTCTGCATTTTTGTGGTGCAAATAATAATCAATTCTCAAGCTGATTTGCATTCTAGGTAGTAGAATAAAATTACATGCAAAGTAATTGACCGAGGACCTGATTTAAAAAATAAAACCCCAAACAACACACAAAACAAGAAAACCCAACACACACACCCCCTCCAAAACAAACAGAAAAAAACCCAAAACATAACAACAACAAGAAAAAGCCCTGCAAATTTTGGGGGCTTGTGAGAAGTTATAGTTTCAAGAAGTCTTTGAAGCGTCTTGGAAAATATTTGCTAAAACTTTGGGAGTTGTGAACAAATAATGTAAAAGAAATGCTGCTTTTTCCTGTTAACCATTTTTTGTTTGCTTTTTGAGATCTCTTTGTCCTTTTATACTACAGCATGACAAGTATATTACGTTCATATTTCGGAGCAATTGAACAAAATTCATCAGGATGCGGTCAGCCATATGTTGCAACTTGCATGCTAATTATGTAAATATCTTAAAATTAAGGTTTTATGGCTTGTGGACATGTTACATCCATAAATAAACATCAAATATTTTGCTACCTGTGATTGAAATTGTAAATTAAAATTGTGAATTCATTCATAGATTGCAGCCACTAGCAGTGGGCTGTGCAACCAGTCAGTGGTAAGTATGTCAAATACTTGTCCATCATAAACTTATCAATTGTGTGAAATATTTTCTGCTAAGTATAAAAAGGATCCTTTTTAAACAGTTGTAATTTTCTCATGTTCTGTTTGCAGTTGCTCTCCAGTTGGAAACCTGCAGGGAGTAGCATAACATGGGTTTCCCAGCATATGTAAATACTGTGTAAAAAGAGGGGGGTTGGGGTAGTGTTCTCTGAAAGGTTAATAGAAGCTTGTAGATCAGAATTTTGTTTGCTTATGTATAGCAGTAGCTGGGGATTAAGAAGAAGAAACTGCGTTCAGTTGGTTGGCTGAGCTGTGCTTTCTGGAGGGACAGCTTACCCTGACAAAAAATCACAAAAGGAAGGATGGTAAAATAAGAATTTTACAGTTAATTAAGAAATTGTCTTTCTATTAAGTCAATGAGACAATCAGTAGAAGTAAAAAAACAAAACAAACCCCAAAACAAACCAAAACACCAAACAAACCAAAACCAAACCAAAACAGACAAAAAAACCAACCCACAAAAAACCCCTCCAAAACAAACAAACAAACAACCTAACTAGAACTGTTCACTCACCACACACAGGATCATTGTCTTCACATTCCCAGTGGTAACTTTCTACCTTTGGGTGACAACCTGCTTGTTCTGCCTTACCATAGCAGCAGTCATGGTTAAAGCAGCACCTGAGAGTAACAGAAGTGGGCTTGCCTTAATTCATACTGTGGTGATTTATGGTCATATAATCTAGATGGTTTTTATCAGCATGTTTCTACAGGCTGTGAAATAATAGAACAGTCCGCACATGTGAATGTACAGTTACCTGCTCAGGAATCAAAACAGCGTAATTGTTTAATAGATGACCTGGAAAAACTTACTACTCTTTCATGTAATTGATGAGGAAAATGTCAGGTACACATTGATCTAGCTGAACTTCCTCATAGATGAAAATACAAGGAATCTTTAAAGCACTATCAATTTTAAACACAATAAACTTGTATTGTGGGTATGCCTCTCTCCTAGCCCCTTCCAAGAAGATTAAATGCCAGAATAGTCTGTCAGATAATGAATGATGTATTTTTCTGACAGTTATTGATGCTATTGTAACAGTTACTAACAAGGAAGGGACAAGAAGATTTGTTAGGCCATAGCACACTATCATAAATGTCATCTTATAGCAAAATCCTTAGATGGTGGCGGAAAAGCTGAGAGCAGGTGAAATGTTCAGTGATGAATAGGCATGGGTACTGTTTAATGCCATGATTAACTAAACCTGTTTGTTCAGTATTGGGAGAAAATCTGGAAAATTGCCCAAAAAGATGATTTCAAAATTGTTTTTGTTATAATTGGGACAATGAATTAATAGACTTTCTATCACATTGTGGAACCAAGCAGTACAGGTGAGCATTAATGGTATATTTTAATGCTTAAAAAAAGAATTACTCTTCTGGTGTAGAGTCATTGCAAGCCCAGAATAGCAAGCAGGGGAGATAACAAGGACCTGAAATTAGATAAATTTATTTTTGACTCAGTGGAAGAAAAGGGTGTATCCATGAGCTCTTTGCATTCAGTCATTCAGTTTCCTCCTGGTAGCCTAAAACCATCATACTACAGTAGGTGCAGGATGCTTAGATGGTGTTTAGATTGCCTGAGGAATTTGTGTCTGCAATAGAAAAAGTTAATGCTGGGAGCTCTTCACTTGCAGTTCCTGTTTTTTCCCATGTTTATTATAAAATTACGTGGTAATTCCACACGAATCACCATTAAAGATGCTGTGGTACATAACAGTTGAACAGCACATGCCCATGAAGTAGCTCAATATATCCATTTCATGCATAGAAATTTGAAAAAAAAAAATTCTAGGGAGTCTTTGTAGCAGTACTAAGGTAAATAAACCAGGAAACACAGGTACTTTTGCATTGTGCAGTTTATCTTCATGTGTTCACATTTTTAGAATTACTTTAGTCCTCTTTTAAGCATTTTAAATAAAAATAGAGGCTTAAGGATTTTATATTATGAAAGCCATATATGATTGTTTCAATTTGAAAGTTTATAAATGGCAGGCAAAAATCTAAATTGCAATAACTGTTCTTTGAATAATTCCATTACAGATGTTCTTACTTCAGAATAAGTATTTATTTTCACTTAACTTGTTTTCAGGCATAATTCTGAATGTAAACCGCCCACAATGTAGCTCAAAGCTTTAAGAAATCAAACTTGCAAAGAATGTTTGTCTCTACATTCAGCTGGTGCAATTCTTGATTCTGTTCAAATGCAGTAGAGTAAGTACACTCACTTCTGGCTTGTTCTTAACATTCTGTAGCTATTAAAACCCAAACCACAAATAGCTAACTATGTTTTGTGAAGAAGCAGCTTCTTACTACTGTGGGACTTTAACAAAGGAAAGAAATGGCCTACAATGAAAGACTGGCAAACTGCAGAGTCTCCATCATTATCTTTAGGTATACAGATGACCATAAGTAATACTAGTCCCTTCTTTTTGTATGTGTTCCCAGTCATTAAAGTGGCGACTACAGTCTACGAAATTGTCTTTAAATTACATGTTACACATCCAAAATCTTGAAATATGTAGGCAAAGATTGTAAAAGTTTTAGGTCTAATCATGACTAGAATCTTCATGCAAAAAAAAAAAAAAAAAAATCAGATTTGAACTTTCCATATATTCTACCCTAAATGTGTGTTTTTTTGTTCTCTTTTTAATTTATCTGTCTGATAAGTCAGAACTTGAGATGTCATATGGTGGGAAAATCATTATAATGATAAACTTGAATATAGAAAATCTTTACTTAACTACTGTAACCAGAAACTCCTCTTCCTATTAGCTAATATTGAATTATAAATTAAACTGTTGGTAGTCAATATGCTGAGATTTAGTACTAAATACAAAGGTCTGTTCTTAGAATTATTTTAGTAACAATTCATAATTCCATCTATTCAGAAGTTATTTTTCAGCAAGTTGAATTTGCATAATTTCTATGTATTCTTTTGAATACTAATTAAATGGGATGGATAGTAGTAGAATCAAAAGATTTTTCAGCTGCCATCTTTTTTACTTTTATAGATAACTTGAATGTTTGAGCTTTAAAGCTTCTCCAGGAAAACTAGTTCTTCAGCTCTTGGCCAAACAGCAACAGCGAAGAAACTCAACTGTACTGTGAATCCAATATTAATGCAATGAGAGTGTGAGTTAGAGGCAAGTAGGACTCGTGTACATCTACAGTAACAAAATTTTAATGCTTCAGAGTTTCTCAGCAGTCTGAGGTGTGTTTAAACTCAGTTCCCTCAATGATGTTAAATATGCCTAATTCATATTTTAGTCCTTTTACTCTGTCATCTGCGTACATTCAGCATTTAATTATTCACATAAATAGTCTTACCAGTCTACTCTGTCCATGGGCCATCCTCTTCCTCCGAGACCACAGTAGCATCCATAACGTAGGTAGGCAAGAGGAGATCGTCCTGTAGTACATCGAACAGCTCCAGCTAATTCAAGAATTCCTCTTCGGTTTCTAAAATGGGCTTCCCCAAAAGTGCCTTTATAAACTGTGGAAGAAAAACTTTTTATTTTTTATTGAATCAAACATACAGATATAAAATAGGTTTGGTTAGTTGTTTGTTTTTTTGGTTTTTTTTTAACTTTCATAATGAATATCAGTACTTGAAAATAATACAGTTTTCTTTTTGACACTTTGGGGCCACACTCACTGCTTGACCCAGTCCTTTTTTGCCCCAATCTATAGTGAGCAGAATACTGAACGTTCTGAATAGATGCAGTTGTTTCCTCCCATCAAGGCAGCATACAATGGCAGACTTCAGTCCCTTCCCGTCTTAAAAGTGGCAAGGGCTAGCCTGTGTTCTGTGGTCTAGGTCCACTAATCTGCTAAGACTAGATGCTCTAAGCATTGCCGTATTTTCTCATTAGGATAACATGCAATTTTGCCCATGTTGTTACTTTGTAGAATGTAATGCTTTATGTTTGTGCAAATATATCCTCTGTGATGGGGTTCTGTTTTTCCTTATTTTAAGACAAAGAAGCGAAATAACTGTCAGGAGTGGTGGGGTGGGTGTAGAGCAGGGAAGTGGGTGGGTGCTAGGAGTCATTTCCAGAGAAATTAGGAGAAGGGTTGCTTATTTTTTTCTGTTGCATTTTGTTTGGGTTTTGATGTTGTTTAAGGGATTCTCACCATTATTGCTCCAGAACAAGATCGTATTTAGGAACTTTATTTTAACTAATCCATTTCAGTACTAAAGGTCCAGGGCAGCAAGTAAATATTGAGACAGCAGATGACTTTTTTTAGGGCTTCATGTCATCCTTCAGGTTGAGCTAATGCATCAAAGACCCTGAATGGTAACAGGCAGCATTTCCTTGCAGTGCAGGCTCCAAGCTATTTGCAGCAATTTCTAAAAAGTTGGATGAGTACAAAACAAATTAATGGAAGATTACTGATTATAGAGTTGTCTTACTAATTAAACTAATGGTTTATTTTGGTATGAGAACAGTTTATAAACCTTAACTCTCAGTATTGGATACAGATTGGGAAAGACATTAAGCTGTAATAACAGATAATATCAGTGAGAGAGACAGCAGAAAAAATATTTAGACTATTTCATTGAAAGTTTTGATATTTATTTTCCTACAGTATATGATTATACAGTTTGTATATAATCTCTATAATCATATAATCTATTATAATAGACTAACAGACTAATCTATTATAATAGATTATATCATCAACTGTAATCAGTTAATAGAAGATCTGACAGAAAAATATTGTTCTCAGCACAGCTGAATAACTTAAAAAGCATGGGATGCTGGTGACCTCCAGCACTTGTGATTTCGTGAAACAAAGGGAATAAACATCTCATGAAATCACCTCACTAAGAAATACAGTTGGTTTGTATGTGAGAATGGTAAAAGCTTTTGAATGTTTGTAGGTAATCCTTACTTATGAAAATACGTAGGCCTCCTAAGACAATATTTAATACTTTTCTGACTGGTGACTACTCGCAGATCTTGTTGCCTTCTTTGTGGGCACGTCATCTAGGGAGAGGAGAGGATGTTGAAACAAGAGTGCTCAAGCTTGCATATGCATATTTGGCCATTGATTAAAAGCAATCGCATCTTGAGGAGTTAAAAAAAAGCTTACTTGGCTATGTAGTCAGTTGCAGTTGCATTTAAAAACTGTTCCATTGGCACTAAAACTTCCTTGCTAAGATAGTGAATAGTACCTATTGTGTCATGGTTCCCATTCCAGGATATTATCTGCTGTTCAGTTATATAGGTTTTCTGGTAAAAAGATCCTTTCATGCTCTCCCAAAGGGTCCATAAGGTGTACTGGGTGGACTCTTTGGAACCTGTCATTCTATGTGTCAAAATAATAGTCACTTTGTGCCACTGACACATGATCTCCCATTCTGTTGCAACTCTGAATATACGTTTCAGCTCTGGGTAGCAGAAGCATCCATTTGAGTATAACCAGATTCTTATCTTTACGAAGTGTTGAAAGTGTTATTTTCACTGTCAGTACAGGTTCAGTAAATTCCCAGCTGAAAAACAACTGCAGTGAGGCTTCCGCATTACAAATGACAACTGCTTATACTCTTAAATCTTTAGTAAGATTTGGCTAGACCCTTGTAGCTAGCCAGTAATGTCTGAAGGAACCATGTTAGTAGTTAATGGCAAAGCTGGGTTTGCTCTGCATGACATTAGTGATTCTGAAGAAACTGAAGAATTTTTACATTCTGTCTTAGTTCCTGGCAACTGGGCAAGTATGGTGTAGGAGCACTATAAGACAGGAAGAGGAAACTAAGAATTTCCAAGTTGTGTCTCTGGCTGCGTCAGAGAATTGTTTGCTAACGTTGGACAAATCCCAGTCCCTTGATTTAAATCCATGTAGAGTAGAAGAGATGAAGTGTCTACTCCTGGAGAAGCTCAGGTATAAATCTTGAAAATGTGCTATATAAGTTAAAGAAAAGAAGGTGGGCTTTCTATCCTTGCATTTTTTTATGTTACAGCATCTGGACATCCAGGTGTAAAATAAGACTGTATTGTACTGTAGGTACTCTCAACATACCAAAGGAAAAGTCTCTGTTCCAACAGTCTTGTAACCTGGCTTTAATAAAAATGACAAAAGACCATCCTAGAACATATAGGACTATGGAAACAACCAAAGGAAGGGAAACTAAAACCATACCAATCCTAAGGCTACTTTAGGCACCGTAAAATAGCAGATGAGGAAAGAAAGAACCCCAAACAAATCTATGCAGTTGTCTTTGTGATTGTAATGACTAAGACAGAGAGATCTAAAGCCAGGAGATGACTTTCTGAAGACTGAAATCAAGTGAACACTAAAGACAGCCTGAAAGAAAGTAATACTAAGTAATATTATGTTTGTGTTGTGCTTGATTTTAAAACTGCAATTCCTGTTGCCCAGATTGGAGTCCTGCCACATTTGGAGAGTTTGAACTTCACCATGCTGTCTTGGTTTGTTGCCTTTTTAAGCTCTTGAGCATTCAGATTGTGTTAAGTGCTGTCCATTATGTCTGCAAGATGTTTTCCACTATGATGGAGACGTTTTTCTGAATAGCTTACGATAATATTTTAAAACCCAGTCCCTTAAATTTCCATATCCATTTAAAAACGCATCTTTTTTTGTGAAAGGACATATTTCCGATAATGTTTTACTCTTTGCAGTGCACAAACATAATAATTATTTTTGCAGATGCATAATTATATTTTTCTTAAGATGCACAGCTTTGCATAGTTATGATACATAACTACATTATTCATTAGCATCTAATACAGTCTATGATGTTTTGTGGGTTTTAAAATAAATGTTAAGCCATTCTTTCTAAGACTGAGGCTACAGAAACATTTTTTTAATGTTAAATATATGTAAGATTTCCAATAGTGGTATTTCCTTTGTACAGTCATAATGCTCCAGTAGTTCAGAACTTGAAACTTGGGAATAAGCAGACTTTCCGATGCATGTCCAAGATCTTGTCAGAAGTGGAAACCTTTCAACTGTATGCATTATAGAAACTTTTTTTTTTTTGCTTTGTTTTTTTTCCTCTGGTTTGATAAGCCATCAGGAATGGCCGTTTTAACCTCATCTTGTTGCCCAGACTACTATCTCTACAAACTGTGGTCTCATGTAAATTTTTTGAAAGGATAAATTTGCCTGTTTTGGTACTGTGGACCAAGCACTGAAAAACAGGTAAATTGCATTTCCCTTCCTCCTCACTGCCTACGGAATGGGTGACTGTGATGCCTGACTCAGAGCTATCGGGCCAAAGCCGGGTTCTCTGTAATGATCACTGTGGGCTGGCAGAAGCAGTGAAACAGTCTTTCATTGCTTTCCTTAACATTTTTGCTGAGGTTTGTGCCGTGCAAAGGCTGAAGTCTGAAGGGTGATCAAAATGCAGAAGGAATAATAGGGGCATGCTGAGGTCAGGAAGTGGAATTGGGGCAGTGAGCTTGGTGGGACCTTAAGTTGGCCCCATTATGCAAGCACCTTACCTTATGGTCTTCAATCATGTGATTGCCTTTTTCCCCCAGACCCCGCTTCATTCTGTGCACAGAATCTGTTATAAGAATGAATTGAGGCTCTTGTCCTTAGGATCCTTCTATTTGCAAGATTTGTGCTGATGAATTTGCAAGCAGCGTGGAAATGTATTAAAAAAGTGCAAGAAGACAAAAGTGAATCTCTTAATTAAGGCAGCCGAATGCTATTCTGGAAAACTGGATTTTATCCTTAGAGCTGTCACAGAGGTTCAGCATGAGGTTAATCCCTTTAAAACAATGCCTACCAATGTTTACTAATAGTAAGCTCTCAGCCTGCTGAATATCTTGGGGTTGGAGTACCAAGCTACTGGAATACTTGGTGAGAGCCAGGCTTTGAGTAAAGTTCCACATAATTTTAAGAGTTGTAGTTAAAATGGGGTTCTAATGTGTCATCGCTGGAATCTAAAATTAGTGGATGCTTTTTTTTGTGTTGGTCCACCTACCTATCTCAACAAGGGATAATACAGTTTCACAGAAGTATGAAAGAAACAAGTACATTCAGATACTGTACTGATGAATGCCTCAGAAAACCTATGAGGAAACGGACTGTAAATTATTACAACTGGTCTTTAATGCTGCTTAATAAATAGGACATAGAAGACAAAAAAAAATAATTATGCTTGCAAAGTGAGTAGTCTGCTCTGCTCAGGTATGCAGCAGGGGTCCTTTAATTACCTTTTCACATCATAACTTATTCATAAAGCCTGACTCATTTTTTCAGAATAACCCAGTTATGGTTTTGTAGCCAATCTCAGATGAAGCAGTTCTGAGCTTTTCAACTGCTCTGTAACTGAAGTGTTCTGAGATAGCTCTACTACGTACACGAAGAGCATGGGTAAATGTATTGGCTTTGTAGAAAGATTATTACTGCACCTCCAACCTGCAGTCTGATATTAAATCCTGAACTTTTAAACACAGTTGCACATTACTGATGAACTTTAAAAAAGTAATGTGAGACCCTCCAGCAAAGCGCCCAGGT